CAACGGGGTCCCTTGGGGGGGCTTGAAAGAGCCTACAAAAAGGGGTCATCTTTTTGGGGGGCACTTCCAGGGTGTTTTTACTGCCTCTTTGGTTTTTCTTCCTGGTTGTTCAAGGGAAGCTCTTTCTAGTCTACTTGGTCTAGTTTAGGCCACATCCAGATGGATAATTTTGACTTTGGTTTTGGGGCTTTTGGAAAACCAAGGTCAAGATGGTCCAGCTCTGGTTTGGGACAAAATTCTCTTCAAAGCAAAGAATGTATTTTTATGTGTCCCATGAGCCCACGTTATTCACGAGCACCCCAACCTCTCTGCCCCAAAAGGTTTAGAAAGCACTACTTTTGTCTAAATGAAGCTCCTCAACCGTCTTCAACATAGTTCCTTAGCACCAAGATTCCATGAGATGGCAGCAAAGAATTAATTTTGATGCTTTGTTTTGGGGCTTTTGGAAAACCAAGGTCAAGATGGTCCAGCTCTGGTTTGGGGCAAAATTCTCTTCAAAGCAAAGAATGTATTTTTATGTGTCCCATGAGCCCACGTTATTCACGAGCACCCTAACCCCCCTGCCCCAAAAGGTTTATAAAGCACTACTTTTGTCTAAATGAAGCTCTTCAACCATCTTCAACATAGTTCCTGAGCACCAAGATTCCATGAGATGGCAGTAAAGAATTAATTTTGATGCTTTAGGTATAGTACAAAAATAGTAAACAGGTGAATTTTTCAGGAAATGGCAGAGGGTAGACAAAAAGTTCCCGGCTCCCCGCACAAACTCGGATATTTTTTGGCCTTCTGGCCTTCACTACACATTGTTGTTGTTCAAGGTGAAGACGTTTCAAACTCTCTACTAGGTTTGGCTTTGGACAAAATTAACATGAGAGCCATCAATTTCGTTTTCATTTGATTTTTGGGGATGGTGCCGCCGCTTTTACCCAGCAGCTTGGAAAATCTGACCCCCCCCCACCCCCAATATAGTATATCTTTTTTATCTGATTCATTTTATTTTGTATCAGGTCTCCAAGGGTTTGAGGGGTCCAGGGAAAGCCATTTTTGAGCATTTATTTCACATCCTTGATATCCACGTGTTCGTACACTCTTGGTCCTCACAAGTAAGACATTACAGTGCACGAGCAGAACGACTGTGTCTTCCTAATTGGGCCTCATGCAGCACAGTAGTTTACTTTTAAAGTTTAATTGTATACAAGTCGGCCAAAAGTGGCACCAGTAGTTGCAAAAAGCTCAAGCGCAAGACCAAGTTGTTCCACCAGGGGGCCCCAAGTTGTTCGATCAGTGGGCTCAATTGGGTTACTAGCGGGGACAAAGCGTGCATTAGCACATGGATCTTTAGCTGGATATGAAGGATACGGAATAAACGCCCAAAAGGCTTTTTCCTCCTTCTCGTACGGTTGTCTTAGCTTTGCGAAAATACCAAAGATTGAATCCCGAGGAGGTCATCGACTTTTGGAGTCGACTTCAAAGGAGTCCTTCTCTGCGGGTATTTGCTCGGGTGTACGCTCTCGGACAAACCGGCGGGCTTTGGGGAGGCCGTGGGTGGACGGGGAGGTGAGGGGCGGTGGGGGGGGATCAGAGAGGATGATGATGGTGGTGGTGGTGGTGGGGGCGAGGGGCTGAGCCTTGTTTTAAGGTTCATGTGTAACAATTGTAAGCATGATCGAAGGTGTGCTGCCAATGCACATTTTAACCCCACCGCCGCCTCCCCACTGGCCCCACCTGGTGGGTGGAGGATGCAAATGAAAACCTCTTTCAGGGTCAAAGCGGGAAAAAGCAAAAAAAAAACAAAAAACAAAAAAAACCCAAAACTAACAAAAAAAAAATCATAATAATAATAATAACCAAAGATTGAAGACGTTAGCTGCTGCTGATGCATGGAGCACTCAGAGGAATGATGAAGCACCACGAGTATCCATCATTGCGGGAATGCTGAAGAGCGGATCTTATTATGCAACAAAATTCTTTGCATTTGTTCGTGTTTTTTTTTTTTTTTTTAATGAATTTATTTTTTGGGGACAGACTCGTCACTTCTCCACTGATTCAAACATTGCAACTTCAAAATAGTCACAAAATTCACATCCTCGGATTCATTTTCCATGCTTCTTAAATTCCTAATTTTTCCACAATTCCACATTTTGCGTGAGTCCAATTAGATCAAAAAAGCAATTTATAAATTAAACGTGTTACGTTTTTGCATCAGTAATATCTTTGAAAAGCGCACCTCTATCTTTTCCTTTCCGTCCCACCTTCAGAACGGATGAATAACCGAATTTGCCCTCGGCATCAGCTCTTCAGTATTCAACCGCAATTTCGATAGAAATTGCAATCGCTAGTATTGATGGTGATATAAACAAGACAGTGTTATTGTGTTGAAGTGGAACTGAGACATTGACTCTTTTGACTGTGCCCCCCTCCCCTATACAGTACCCTAACCCCCTCCCCTCCCCTACTTTCTTTTGTGTACACAATGACTTGACCATCTACCTCAACTGTGTGAGAAGATATTCCGTAACCAAAGATTTCCATGCTGTCTGTCCGTCTCATCCGTCTCTTCTTCTTCTATCTACTTCATGCCTTTGTGTCCAAAAACCTAAAAAAAAAAAAAAAAAAGCTGGAATCAATCTTTAGCGGCGCCTGAGTGGGCCCGCGTCCAGCCAAAGCTTCCGTCCCGTCCATCCGTGTCCTGTGTGTAAATAAATTCCTTGTCAAGACCAAAAATGAAAGAAAGAAGGAGGTGACAATCCAAGCAAGGAGGTTCTTGCTGTAATCAACGTTGCCTGTTCCTTGTTTTTCCCAAAATGCCGGAATCACGGGACTTTTCCCCCACAAAGTCATCCCGAAATCAATGTAGGAGACAGAAGCTATTTTTCCACGTTTGTAAAGAAGAAGCCAGCCTCGCTCCCTCGTTCCTGGTCCAAAGGAGAAAAGCTTGTACGGGCGGGGAGGGGGGGAGAAGGCGCCGCAGGGAACGCGAATATTTGACTGTCGATGCGTTTCCTGGGCTCCCGGCCCGAGTCGGAAGAACGTGGCGGGAATTTTCTTTTCTTTTCTTCTTTCTTTTCTATCAGCAACTCAAGAGAATCCCTTTGAATACCTCATGTGAAGCTTGTTTGTTGTGATGTTGCACTAAAAAAGTAGAAAAAAATAAAAACACTCATTTGTAACCCAATACTTCTCACGGTGAGCTTCTTGACAAGATGGGATCTTCATCTTGGAAATCTTTTATTCACGCGTGAAATACATTAACATATTGAGAGACCAAAATACTCACAGGTTCCCCAAAAGTGGACATTTTTCACACCAAAAATTCCCCACTGATTCCCAAAGGCACATTTGACAAATCAGATTCACGTTGTTCCAATTTAGAATTCAAAACATGATTTTATTGTTTTATGATTCAAAACAATTCATTTACACAAGTTTTAATGTGGCAAAAAATATCATTCATCAACAATCCCACATTTTCATCATCGAACTACCTTCCCCCAAAAAATTCCATATTCATTCCCGATCACACCATAAATATTTGAAATTCTCTGAACATTCAGCTCATTCAAATTACATGCCAAAAACTCAACATGTACAAAAAAAAAAAAAAAAATCACAATTTTCCGAATTAATTTTCCCACCAAAAAAATCACTATCCATTCTCAGTGACATATTCAATAAAAGATTCCAGCCATTCCCTTTCCAAGAATTCAAAACATGATTTTATTGTTTTATGATTCAAAACAATTCATTTACACAAGTTTTAATGTGACAAAAAATATTCATCAACAATCCACATTTTCATCATGGAAATACCCCCCCCCCCCCAAAAAAACCTCCCTATTCATTCCTGATGACACAATAAATATTTGAAATTCTCTAAACATTCAGCTCATTCAAATTACATGCCAAAAACTCAATATGTACCAAAAAAAAAAAAAAAATAATCAAAATTTTCCGAATTAATTTTCCCACCAGAAAAATTCACTATCCATTCTCAGTGACATATTTAATAAAAGATTCCAGACATTCCCTTTCCAAATTCGGAATGTTCAGCTCATTCAATTCAATTGACCTTAGCAATGATTTTCCACATGACAAAAATGACCATTGACCAAAAATTCAGCATTTTCACCATTAAAATACCCACAAAAAATCACTATTCGATTCTCAGTGGCATATTCAACACAACAGATTCACATCACTCCCATTTAAAATGGAAACATTTCGTTCATTTAATTTGACTTTGAAATGATTTTGACGCAACAGAAATTTTGCATTTTCCTCACGAAAACTTCCACAGAAAAGTTCCTTATTCAAAATCAATGACGCATGTAATAAAACAGCTTCACGTTGTTCTCATCTGAAATTCAAAACATTCAGCTCATTAAATTCACCTTGGGAACAATTTTGCAAGCATGCATTTTCCCTGTTCATTCCCTATGCAGATTTCGTTTGAAATCCTACATTGAAACCCTAACCATAGTTTGACACCCTAATTTGAAATCCTAACCTTCGTTTGAAATCCTAGATTGAAACCCTAACCATAGTTTGTAATTTGAAACCCTAACCCTAGTTTGAAACCCTTATTAGAAATCGAACCTGAGTTTTAAACCCTAATTTGAAACCCTAACCTTAATTTGAATCCCTAATGTGAAACCGCAACCCTACTCTGAAAGCCGAATTTGAAACACTAAGCCTCGTTTGACACCATTTTCCTCACGAAAACTTCCACAGAAAAGTTCCTCATTCAAAATCAATGACACATGTAATAAAACAGCTTTATGTCCCATACATTGAAACTCTAACCCTATTTTGAAACTCTACCCACGTTGAAGTAGACTCACATTGAAACGTTAACGCTTCTTTGAAATCGTTCTTTAAAACCCGAAACCTACAGTATATTAATCACAATAACAATAACAATCACAATTATTATTATTAATTGATGTATTTTACTTTCTGTGAGTGCGTTGTGGCACCTTGGGAACAATTTTGCAAGCATGCATTTTCCCCTTTCATTCCCTATACAGATTCAACAAAACAGGTTCCCATTGCTCCCATTACAAATGCTAAATGTTCACTCACACAATTCCCCAAATAAGATGCACAGCATTTGAAGCCCTAATTTGAAATCCTAACCTTCGTTTGAAATCCTACATTGAAACCCTAACCATAGTTTGACACCCTAATTTGAAACCCTAACCCTAGTTTGAAACCCTTTTTAGAAATCGAACCTGAGTTTTAAACCCTAATTTGAAACCCTAACCTTAATTTGAATCCCTAATGTGAAACCGCAAACCTACTCTGAAAGCCGAATTTGAAACACTAACCCTTGTTTGATACCATACATTGAAACCCTAACCCTACTTTGAAACTCTACCCACGTTGAAGCAGACTCACATTGAAACCTTAACGCTTCTTTGAAATCGTTCTTTAAAACCCTAAACCTACAGTATATTAATAATAATAACAACAATAATAATAATCACAATTATTATTATTAATTGATGTTTTTTACTTTCTGTGAGTGCGTTGTGAACTACATGACAGGATAGCTGGCGAACAGAGCGATGCCGCACTGGTTGTTTTTGTTGCGAGCCATCCGGATGTAGCCGCCGTCGCCGAACGAAGCACCCCAACTGGAAGAGACACAGATGCATTTACTACGTTTAACCACACGAGGGCGCTGGAAAC